ATAGACCAATTTATCCATTCTTCTTAAGTCACATTTCAAACTTGTCAATTATTTGCTTAATAATCCTGACTATTTTTGTATGATCGTATCTGTTAATTGTTCACCCTATTGATTATGTGTCTGTAACTTATTTTTGTCTTAATATGAATATCGAGTCACGCCTGAATAAATCGAGTTGACTCACTAACCCTCGGTGAGCGTCACTTTGTTTCGTTTCGCTTCGCTTCCTTCACTTTGTTTCTCTAATTGTCTGTGTGGATAAATGAATGTATGAAATATACGTATTCTATTATTCTCTAACGCGAATTAAGTCGATATTTATATACACAGATTGGCGGTATATATACTTCAAAAAAGATCATCATATGATATACCTGGAGTCAAATACTGGGCCACTAAAACCGGGCTGTTAAGAAATCTATAACTCTATCGTTATGGATTTGTTTGTGTTGTTTCAATTTTTTTTGTTGCTATGGCCATGGTATAACCCAAGAAATTCAAAGTTGTTTTAGAGGTATTGATTATTTTGAACAACTTTAAAACATCAATTTTGTGTTTACTATCAAACAGATGATAAGTGATAGCATTATCGAAAATACATTGAACATTATGGAATATGCTCCAAAATGAATGAAAATCCCTATTTTCTGTTATGTCAGTCAGCTACAACGTACGACCAAACACATATATGCATCGGTTCAAGTTGCTGTACCTCATTAACACAACAAGATCAACACCGGATTCATAAAAGTAGTTAATTCAGATGTGGTAATATATAAAAGAAAGATTTTGTATAAGGAAGAAAGAATTGTACAGGAAGAAAGAATTAGTTCATAGAAAGAAAGATATGAAGCGATTTTAATCTCTTAGTTTAAGGGAAGACAGAGAGTGTATACACCTACACCATTGTGATCGATTCTAAAACATGTCGCCCGCAGTCTCCAGCCATTGGTTACGATAGTCACGCGAACCCCAACCAAGTAGTCTACATCTCCCAACATGACTGTTATGTCAATGTAAGTGATTTAGTACGAACATATAAACCGGTAAATACAGTTGAAGATAACATAAAGTGAGAATTTGTTAACTTTTATATGTCTCTATGGGTAATTTGTTTGTTTTAACCAAATTAGTAATAAAGAGGTTAGATATGTCCATTGATATAATCAAGCACTATTCCTATCTATTCATGTATACAATGATCACTTTCTTTCTGTTCCGCTAATTAACCAATCAAATTAGAGAGAAAAATAGTTTACATCATTATAAATCTGTAATACTCTATCAGTGAATAGATTTCAATTCTGTCCGATACAATTCATACTGTTGGGAACATACATATGACACATACAAACACACATAATCAATGATAATCAGCAAATAGTTCTGATTTGATTGTATCATTTTAGTTCCAAAAAATCAACTTTAAAGATGATCAACAGTTAAAAATAGCAGGAAAATAGCACAAAATATGCACTAATTCAAATGTCTTAATCTTTTAGTCTTTTAAATGTAACAAAGAAATATGATCTAATACAAAGAATGAATTGTTACGTAATAATTAAAGGATTCATTTATGCTATTTTGCATTGGTTTTTATACTTTATCATTCAATATATTTAAGCTTTTCAATGGTTAAGATCATGAGTCAGTTGAAGCTAGATCACCATGGAAAACCTGGAAGCACTGGACGGCAGTTTCACCATATTGTGGGATTCCTAAGCAATGCGTATCCACGACCTCACTCCCGCGAGACTCGAGCCCAGAACTTACTGGTTTCGTGCGCGAGCACTTAACCATTAGACCACTGAGCCGGCCGAAATCTAACAGTTTTAATGTCTAACTTCAACTAATCTACGAAATTGAGCGACACATCCACTATTGTATTCAGTGAATTATTATATCACAACAGACCCCATTGAACTCCACTGCTCACTACTTCTCACTAGAACTCACTAGAACTGAGGAGTCCCACAATAGGACGAAACGGTCGTCCAGTGCTTCCAGGTTTTCTATGGTGGTCTAGCTTCAACTGACTCATGATCTTAACCATTAAAATTACTATAATATCCACAAAACTCATCTGATATTTAAGCTTGTTGATCAAAGTATTCTGTATACTGATAATCATAAATTTAATAATGACATTAGTGATTTAGTACTTGTAATTCCGAAATATTTCTATCAAAGTTATTTGGGGGGATGTTGTGACATCATTTTTTAATGATATAGACATTCAGTGATTTTCAATTCACTCTTATAAGCAACCGTCAAACGTTATCATAAGTACTAAATGTCTGGAATCCTATTAAGCTCGATTGATCACTGCATATCACCAGAATTTGGGAATTATTCTAGACGTTAATCACCGTTATTCATATAATAATAATAATAACAATAATAATAATAATGAGAATGTGAACTATCTCTATTTTGGGCTAAATCACACCCCTCTATATTAACAACCAAACATGAGATCTCCTACCAGTTTACTACAGTCAATCTCGAATGAATTGGTAATCCTTGTTAGTTTCTAACTAATATTTCTCAGTATAAAATTCAAATAATTTAACAGACAGTCATTTAATAAATAAATCTTCTTATTGCTTTCAATGATCTAATAATGAAACATATTACGTATTTGGATTTTATAGTTGAATTCATGAGACAGTCGGAGCTAGACAAACATGGAAAACCTGGAAGCACTGGTCGGCCGTTTCGTTTTAGTGTGGGACTCCTCAACAGTGCTCATCCACGATCCCGCTTCGCGAGATTTGAACTCAGGACCTATTGGTCTCGCGCGTGAATGCTTAACCTCTAGACCACTGAACCAGCATCCAGAAGTGTTAGTGTCTAACTTCAATCAATTCATCATATTGCTCTACCGCCCGATATTGTCATCAGTGAATTACTATCTCACAACAGACCCGGTTGAACTCCACTGGTCACAGCTTCTCACTAGAACTTCAGGAAATACTTCTTGAAGCCAGTCACTATTGAGCGCATAGGCACCTGGGTTTTGCATCCTGTGCGCGGGACCATGGATGCGCTCTGTCGAGTAGTCCCACACTAGGACGAAATGACCGTCCGATGCTTCCAGGTTTCCCATGGTGGTCTAGCTTCAATTGACTCATGAATTCAACTATTAAAATAACTGTAATAACCATATAACTCCTCTCTAATATTAGATATTGTCAGCTTTTAGTTGGCATTATAATTAAGATTTTAATGTTTTACATTCAATAATCAAACATTTTAATTAATTGTACAGCCAAAACAAAATATTCATCTCTTATCTTGCACTATAATGATTGTTTTATTCAACTGTCTTTGTTAAACTTATTAGTTAATGTTAACGAAGAAAGGAACTAGTTTCATTTATTCTACTCTCATTCATTATTGTATAACATAAGGGAAGTAGACGTCTTGGTATATTTCTATGTACCTTGAAAGTAACATGTGAATTATTAAAATTTACAATCTACACAAATCTCCAATATTGGTAATAATAATCATATGCTCACTACTGACTGGATTCAAGATGAATTCTAGTGAGGAGCAGTAGCTAATGAAATTCATTCTGAGTTGGATGGAGATAGTTATCCACGTCAGACAATAGATGAAGTGTTGCACAAGATCATGAATCGAATGAAGTTAGGCATTATTAACGTTGGATACCGACTCGATGGTCTGAAGGTTAAGCATTCACGCATGAGACCAAAGGCTCCGGGTTCGAGTCCCACATGTGAGATCATAGATACGCACCGTTGAGGAGTCACTTACTAAGACGAAATGGTCATCTAGTACTTTTAGGTTTTCAAAAGTGGTTTAGACTAGATTGACTCATGAATTCAACTTTGAAGATTATCAAAGTATTATTAATACTATCAATAAGATTTTAAATCATTCCTTTTGATGATACTTATATTTCTTTCAACGACCTAATTCTTTCTTCCAGTATTATGTCCTTATATGCAATCTTTCTTTAATATAATACGACCACTGAATTAACTACTTCTACCAATCTGGTGTTCATCTTAATGTGTTAATGAGGTATGGCAACTTGAATCGATGCCTATAGGGTCTTAGTTCTACGTTGTAGCTGACTGACTGATTTATATCTCTGACATGAGATAAACTATATATTTAATAATGTACGATAAAGATTATGCAGCAAAATTGTTTAGTGTGTGTGCAGTTATAATTCAGGGAATGTTTGAAAATACTTTCATTACAACAAAGTTCTAGAACAACTAAAGTTGTCTTACTCTCAATTGTACAACATTCAATGTCAACATGTATATTCCAGCATGTTATATTCGTAATTCTTGATATCGGATGTTAAAAATTACACTTTGCTGATGAGTTCCAAGTGGCACGAAATCCAGATCCAAGGTTTCTTGTCAACTACCTCCAACCACTATCTCATCTCAACATTGTACACTCAATGTTGAGTCACCTAGACTACTGGACACGTTGTCATTTGGTCGATAGGATTCAATCTACACAAAGAAGGATCTGACATACATGAAATTGATCACCACCTAGTGATCAATCAATTATAAATACATCTCAGTCCTACAGGAGGTCAACCGCCGCCCGGATAGCTCAGTGGTAACGTCTTTGAAGCTAAGTGACACGGAATCGAATCCGTCAGACAGCATCAGTTCCATCAAGATTAGAGGTACACTTTGCTGATGTGTGCCAAATAGCACGAAACCTAAGTCTAGAATTTCTTCTTAACCACCTCCGACCACTATCCTATCTCTACATAATACACTCAATGTCAAGTCACCTAGACTAGTGGCCACATTGCAATTTGATCGATAAGATTCGATCTACACTAAGAAGGATCTGACATACATGACAATGATCACCACCCAATGATATTCACAATTATTCTGGTTAAATAATATAGTATAGGTATAGAAGACAAAACAAATTTATACAATCAACAATATTACATAGATTAGTATATATATATATATATGATTACTAACCTGCTATTAAACTAGATACAATCAATGGTATAATTAACATTTTCAACATATTCATTAATAATTCACCAGGAAATGATAAAAGATAGATTGTTCTTGGTGATGGTGATGCATAAATTTTAACTAATAAACCAATTGTCATACCCAATATAACAGCTAATACAGTGAATGTAACAAATAAATTATCTAAATTCATTATCCATTTCTTAACCTAAATTTTAAAAACATACAAAGAAAAACACAAAAAGATAAGGAAATTTGTTTTAAATTGAATTCCAGTAATGGAATATAAGATGTTAAAATATAGGTGAAGTTTAATGTGAATGTTTATGGTGAAATATGGAATTCAATACGTCAGTCAGTTCATCTTGAGTACTGTTAGAGGTATGAGGGTGGTTATCACTTCCCCGTTGCCCAAAACGTGGAACGACTCTTCTAGAGGTACGTGAGAAGAAAATTGGATTAACAGTGGTCTTAGCGACCCGAGAGCGTGATCGCAGTGCCCAAGAGACAATTGCTTGAGGTCGGTCACAAAATGACCTATTTCTGGGTGATTTTCGTTTTAACTACGTACTTGTTGAGACCTTACCGCTGGCGACGAATATCTGTGGGATAAGGTGAGGTGTGCATTTTTAGGGTTAATCTTTTCTAACCTCACCACTCCTTGTGGGAAGGCAGCATCGCTGTCATGCCGGTTGTCTGAAGGAAACAACTTACAGCCGTCACACCTCTGTACAGTCAGCAGTATGACTTCGCCTTCGGACTTTGGATTTTTCGCTTTTAGTCTTATCACTCTTCAACCGACCTGTCTGACATGGCAGGACCTTGAGGAACGATTGTTTAAGCCAGTATAACTCGATTGGTTTATCACATATTATACACTGAACTACAAAGTTCAAATAGCTAATAGCTTACGCAACAAGTGTGAATCTCTCTCAATGAGTTTGTAGGGAAGATCTCGATTGATTTCAGATAATCGAATTAAATCAATCTTTGTTAAGCTTCTTAGATAACAAAAAATGTTGTGTTACTAACAACGGATTAGAAACAATGGAATTTCAATAGTTAATAGTCAACAGTTAAGAAATATTATTTTATTTATTTATTTGAACACATAAATATTGATACAAAGGCGCATCGAATAGATATGCGCCACACAAGTCACTTGATTTATATGTGAGCTGGGATACCTCTTGAGTGCTCATATCGAAGCAGATGGTTTTCTTATGTTGCCACTCTCCGAGCCTTTAACCTAAATGTGTAATCCACAAGGCAGTAGCGCATAATAAGATGTGATCCAATAGTAGCCAATGATCAACAATAGGTTCATATGTCATTCGTTTCCCTAGGACCCTGAGGTCCATGTGCACCAATGGATTGGAATCAGGATTTTTTTAACTCCCCTGCGATCCTGAGTGTGCAAAAACCCGGTTGAAGCGCCGGACATTCTCGTTTCTTGTTGTCAATTTCGTAAAGAACACCACTTTGTCGAGAAGGCAGTGAGTAGGACTTCTATGGTAGTGGCTATATACGAGTGGTCATGTGAGATCATTCGGAGAGTGAGAGCGGACTCTCCTTACTCTCAGCCGTACCAGAGCATTGGTCATTATCTATATTTATTTTTAAATTTCATATAGAATTCAAGGATATTGTATGTATCTTTTAGTTTCCTAGACATCTACAATGAATACTACAGATCTATACGGATTATATCAGTTGTGTAAAAGACGTTTTGAGTAGAAACTTATATAAACGATTTTTTTGCTCAGATACTTCGACATCTGATCACATTATAAAAGTTAACAAGTGATATATTACCTCAATTCAGTAGATTCTATTTATAAGCATCAATAAACTGTAATAGAATTATTCCCAAATAATAAATCCCTTTTTAAAACTGAATAATATCAAATTCACTTTGTGCTATTTTACTTGTATCTTCCTATTAATGTTTAGCATTGCAATTGTGATTAATCACTTATTGGCATATGTACATACTGTGAGTATCCAGGACACACGTTCTATCTTCAGTAGATAAGTGTATAATGCAATAGTGTTTGAAGCGAACAGTACTAGGTTCGAGTCCCAAAGTGAACATTAACTCTGACGTGAAGGTAAATCCAGCTGACAAGTCTTACATCGAATGAAACTCACTTCTTGAATTCTACAACTAACCATTATTCATCTTTACTTATAACTAATGCCATATTATCAGAATACGTAATTATAGAGATTGTAATAATTTTCACAATTGAATTCATTAGTCAATCTAAATTGAGATTATCATTGATAATCTGAAAGTACAAGACCACCATTTCATCCCAGTATCATATTTAACTGTTAATATTCTATTGTTCTAACATTTTTACAACTTCCTATTAGATTCAATCTTATCAGAAGATTAAAAAGAAAAAAAAGAAATGAGAAGAAACATGAAATGAAAGTGAACGTATTGAATGAAATGTATTATGTTATGAATTACTTGTGCAATTATTACACAAGTTTCTATTTCAATCAATGTTACATTCAATTCATTGATTTCCGGAGGTTAGAAGATCAAGTTTGTAAAATAGATATCAATAAAGTGATGTCTAATAGTTGATCAGTTTATCATTTCAATGATCTTTATTACCTTAAACTAAGAATCTATTTTCAATCCTATACAATAGTATATGTCAATAGTTGAGATCATGGATCATTTGAAGCTAGACCACCATGGAATACCTGGAAGCAATGGATGGCTGTTTCGTCCTATTGTGGGACTCCTCACCAGTGCGCATCACCGACTATTGTGGTCTAGATTCAATTGACTCATGACCTCAACTATTGAAATTATTACAATCTCCACAAAACCCCTTCTGATAATAGTATGTGTTAAATAATAAGTCTATAAACAGTTGATATGATTGTTTTTCTATGCACTCTGAAAAACATGTTAACTCCTCCTAGAACCCCTCAGAGGCTAGTGCCGGTCCCAAGCTCCGATGAAGGAAGAGGGTTAGGCATGGGGGTTAGCGACCTTATCTCGTAGAAAACTAACTCGCTAAAAAAACGGTAACCAGAAAAAATAATTCAAACATTTTAAACTCTGCCCTGGGAGTGAGAAGGTCTCAGAAACAAACTTGTTAGAAATGGCTATATTAAAGTGTTCTATTCAGGATGCTACTAACGCTAGCAATTCAGTCATAAACATCAGGAACAATATAGTATAAACTTTTACTTGTGTATATCATATTCATTGAACAGGTTAGTAGTCATCTAAATTCATTAGCTTAGCGAATAATGCATTAACTATATAGAGTTTTATAGAGATTGTAGAATTTTTACAGCTGAATCCATGAGTCGGTCTAAACTAGACCACCATTGAAAACCAGGAAGTACGGGACTGTTGTTCCATCTCCAGTAATACGAGTCCACAATTCCACTACAACAGATTCAACACAATACTTAACCTTTAAATCAATAAGCTGTCGATGCTTCAATTAATTCACGATCTTACAGAAACATCTTCCATTTCATTGTTGACAAGTTCCATACTAGAACTAAGCAGCTGGCCAGTGTCTTCTGGTTTTCAATAGTTGTCTAACTAAAACCAATTCATGATTTAAAATACATTTCTCACCCCCCCCTCTCCATCTTTTAAATTTGTTTATCATATTCACATTGGACGCATATTCATTTCCAATATTGAAAAGCATGTGAAAAACTACCATAGGTTGACAAAAGATTATCCTGCTGTTTGTAAACATACTCTCTTTCCCCATTCTCTTTGTTTAGATTAATTCGCTTCATTTAATTAAATGATTTATCTTTGTATGTCAAATTTAAGAGAACAATACAGTTCAAACCTTCATTTATTGTCTTTTTTCTTCCTATACTACTTAATTAATTGATTAGTTTCGATTACATATTCCTTTGTTTTTTTGACGTTTATTTTATTCGTATCAGAAGGGGTTTTGTGAATATTATAGTAATTTTCATAGTTGAATTCATGAGTCAATTGAAGCTAAATCACCATAGAAAACCTGGAAACATGGGATGGCCGTTTCGTCCTATTGTGGGACTCCTCAGCAGTAGCCATTCATGACCTCGCCCTCTGCGAGGTTCGAACTCAGGACTTGTCAGTCTCACACTCAAGCGCTTAACCACTAGATCATTGAGCCGGCCGACATCCAACAGTGTTAATGTCTAAATTCAACCAATCAACGAAATTGAGCGAGATATTCACCATTGTCTTCAGTGAGTTACTATCTCACAACAGACCCCATTGAACTCCACTGGTCACTATTTCTCACTAGAACTCCAGGAAATACCTCTTGAAGCCAGTCACTAGTGAGCATATGTTGATTAGTTTCAGAAAAGCTTTTGTGGATATTATAGTAATTTCAATGGTTAAGATCATGAATCAATTGCAGCTTTATATTTATTCATTGATATTATTGGAGAGAAAATGTTTTCTTGAAATACTGGAGAATGAATATTAAATTGATTTCTTCATTCTATAAACGATATCCTAATGATTATAATAAGTAACTTTCAATTAGAAGGTTATTTGGCTTGAATCGTAATCTACTTTGATTAGTTAGTTCTGGCAATCTAACAATAGTATAATTAACAATTTCATAACCTATGTGTTTTAATGTCAGTCAAATAAAGTTAAACATGATCAAATGAATTACCTTTATATAACTAGTTACCAAACGTGTAATAGTTTTTTCATCATAAATTGAAGTTTGTTAGACAACCAAGTGGTATAACTTCATTGTTTAGTACTAATATGGGATACCTTAACAAAACTGCATCCATGAACATATCAAGATCATCTAAATCATTATCATCTTTAGTTATGAGCATGAAAACTTCATCTCTGAACCAGTGAGTTTTTATCCAATCAGTTGTATATTTGACTAATTAGTTCCATATTCTAAGTGTGTTAATAGATAGTTAGTTTATCAATCGAATCTATGTTCATTTTATTCTCAGTATTCTCTTCATGTTTAGATATTTTTTTTGATCTATAGTGTTTATTTGATGAAATCTAGTCTTATTATTACATTAAAATTGTTACTATTCTCAATATACTACTAATTTGAGTTAATTAGATTACTTTAAAAAGTTGGGAAAGTTTTCTAACCATTAAAAACTGATTCCCTCCCCCCCCCCCCCAACCTGGTTATTATTGGTGTTTTTTTCCTTATAATTTTTCTTTTT